AACCTAATTTAACACAGCGATGTAATTGAAAGAGAAAAAAATGTTCTCAAATCAGCTGAGAAGGTAGAAGGTATTTTTTCACTTTAAGAAAGGTTTTGTGAGATTACGTCTTAGTTTAAATAGACGAAATTTCTTCGAACGTTTCAACTTTCCGAATGAGCAATTATGTCGAAAAGTCTGGTTCATTAAATAGTTAATTAAAATCGCAAAACTACGTATCTGATATTACCGTTATACAGCCGTCTGGTCTGACACTGACAGCCAATGAAAATTTTAACATAAAATTTCTACATTGTGCGGAGTTGTATTATTCATCTTTTTTTGTTTTTTGGTTTTTTGGTATTTTTTTTTTTTTTTTTTTTTTTTTTTTTCATTGATTTTTTCATGTAAATTCATAGGACAGAGATTTCATCGTATCTAGAGCTTGGTTAAACCGAATTAGTCTCAATTTTTCATCGTTTCTATAGCCAAAAATTTAATAACGATATACTAATGTTAAAAGCTACGGCAAAAGAAACATAATAGTAGTAGTATTAGACAAGAATAAAGAAAAGAAAAAAGGTTAATGAATTGCCAAGGATTATTACTCACAAAGCCCTGAAAAGTTTTAAATTAAAGATATTTATAGTATGCAGTAGAACAAATTTAGCGATAAATCAAGTTTGAATTAATTTATTTTAAAATGTTAAGCTTTTGAATTAAGCTGTAAAATTAATGCACTACAATACTATAATAAAAAAAAAAAAAGGAAAGTATTTAAGGAAAAATTTGTATAAATATTTGCGTTTTAATCCGAGGATAAGATTAAGTATATCACTCATCGTTCAAAAGGAAATAATTTAATTAATAAATAATAAAGTTGTTTTAGATAGAAGGCTGATAGTGAAATTGCTTTATTAAAGAAAATTATTTCAAAAAGGAAAGAATAAATATTCATTAGTTAATAGACGGAATATTTATGGGCTTCGTATTTCGGAAAATCTACAGCTAGTCTAGTCCTAATGAAAATATATTTTAAATATTAATGCCTTTTTTTTTCAAGGCTTGTATTTATTATATAACGGGGGATAATATTATATTTTTAAGTACTTTTTCAAAAAAAGTATGTTCACATAGCTCTAGCCATCCCATATAATCCATTTAATTTAAAAAATCGATAGAATTAATATGCGAGTCGTGTTAGGATAATTAACGTACTTGGCTATTAACACACACAGGCATTATTAATTTCGTCATAAGCAATTGCGAATAGTACACTCTCTTGGCATATTATTTTATTCGGGGTAGCGCATATTCTAACAATTTCCTCGTATCTTTCATTTCTCTTAAAATTAAACTTACGTAAAATTCATGAATAGTGAAAAGTCACTTTAATATATTTCCAACACAGAGAGAATACTTAAGATATTTAAGGCCACTACGCGAGCAAGGTGCGAAAGAACTTTTTTCACTCTATCAATAATATGACCTTGTTACGCGGCCATTAATGAAATTAGATATGTAAGCGTCGGCTCAGCGATAATGGTAACTCTTATTCCGTGTCGTAGGTTTCGATATTCCGGCATGGAATTACATGAAATTGAGTCTATGGTTGACAGGTAGTTGATAAGGAGACGCAGTTGGTTGTTTGAGGTGTCGGTTAACGTCGACTCCAATATATTTCAGTGAGCCAGGTAACAACGAATAACGGACTCCAAAGAGCGTATGTCGTTAATGATGGCATTGAGACGTGAATTTAATGTCAAATTCAGCCTCGAGCTCCTCGGCTTTTCTACTTGAATACCTACCTGTTCTTATTAACCCCTTCAATGATTTACCACTACTACTACTACTAATAATAATAATAATAACAATGATAATAACAACAACAACAATAACAATAATAATAATAATAATAATAATAATAATAATAATAATAATAATAATAGATTTTTTAATTTAATTGAAATGCAATGGGATTCGCGCGAGTATTTATCCCCGGCAGTGGGTAATGAATATTCGAGTAGAGGTCTCGCTCTGCCTCGATTGCCAAAATATATCTCTCGCTCGATACTTAATAGACTAATAAAAATTCGTGTATACTTATTGTATGGGAGTAGGGCACTTGGTATTTCAGCCAATGAAATTACTTTCGTTATCTCGATATCGAATAAAAATTTCGCAGTGTAGCGTGAGTGCGTCGTTACCTATAAACTGCATGGACGATTAAATGATTATATCCAGATGATTGATCGATAGATTATCGATTGATCCTTCACAGTGAAATTTATAAATATTTTTTTCTTTTTTTTTCTTTTTTTCTTTTTTGATTATCATTTGCTGACGTGATAAAGGCCTTGTGACGTTCATGCGAAAGTCACATAAACTCGCACTTGTTATACTAAAGTCGCTCGTAAAAGTCGGCTTGATTCACTGCTTTTGTTACTTCCTGAAGCTACGTACTTGCGAAAATTACGAGGAGCTGAGTTCACCTAGCAGTTAAAATCGAATGCATGTTGTTACAACGATTTACGAGTCCTGTGCTTTTGTATAAAACGATTTGCCATCTACGAGGATCATTATACTAAAGCGAATTGTCTACCGAATATTTTGTAGGGTTGCCCATTGTATGATTAAATGTTACATGTGAAGTACGCGTAATCGCATTATGTAGCGAATGCTTAAATCCTTGCTGAATTAATATAAAGTTAAATGCGAATGGAATCTACTTTCATAATAAATTAGCGTAAAAATTTATGCAAACTTATTATTCGGTTAATTTTATTCGACACTAACTAAAGATTATATTCAATCATATTAATGTTTCGTCAATCATTGGCATTGAAAGGCATTTAACTTTAATTCGTTAATGAACGAACAGAGTCGTTGATATACCACTATGCCACAATAAACAACGTATAACTGAAAGATAAATTTTTCTATTAAAAATATACTTCAAAGTATGTACTGATCGTAGATTACTCGCTGTATTGAAAAAAAAAAATATGTTTCCTCGTCAAAACTCAGGATCAACTTCATATTTAATGTATAAAATATAGTAAAAATGTTGTTATTTACATACATCGTGAATTTTTCCATTTTACCGAATGTATTTTTAATACCAGTATTTTATGTATCCAATATATTGAAAATAATAACATTCCAGAATCATCGCAGTTTTGGAATTATGAAATATTTCCATAACATGATAAATAGCGCACGAAAGCACATTTAGTTAATAAAAATAATAAATAAATAAATGTATACAGACATATATTAATATCGATATTTAATTAAAGTCATTGTAAAGTTTTTATACAAATATATTTAAACATATATTTTTGAACGAATCTACAAATTGCATTATTAATTTATAATAATTAAGGATTTAATTTTATAATATATTACATATTATAATATAATAAAAAAAAAAATTAAAAACAAAAACTCAATATAAAATATATTAAGATAAAAATAAAACTTTTAATACTACGATGCTTTTAATTAATGACATTTTTATTCTATTCATGGACTATAACAAATCAAATATTATGTAACATCGTATAATAAAATAATATGATGAAATGAATATTTAGTAAATACAAATTGCTAAAATTGCTTGTTTCTCGTAATACAAACACTACAATTTAAATAAACTTTATATTCACAATTTGCCTTCACCCTCATATTTATTATTATGATTATGATCATTATTATTATTAAATCTCTGCGCCCTTACTGTCATAAAATATATCTCAATTAATTAGTTTTGTTAGTGTAATTTTAATATGGTACCTACCGGCGCTACATTGTCGCATTAGTTCAATAATTCGTGAATTTATACTTACCGCGAATCACATTGGCGAAGTTACTATCTCCTTTAAAATTAAGATTATTCATTCCTCTTGAGCAGAATGTATAAATAAACAAACAAAAACAAACAAAAACAAACAAAAACAAACAAAAACAAACAAAAACAAACAAAAACATACATAAAATGAACGGATGCTAGTGGCTTAGGATTTCAAGTTCTGATTAAATTGATAATTGAAAAGAAAAACATTGGCAAAACAAAAATTTAATTGTAATATTTAGCAATTTACCAACTCGTACACATGAAGATTAATCTCGGCAAAATGTAAATGTAACTTGAATTGTAAAACACAATTAAAAAAAAAACAACAAGTAAATAACGTTAATCGTATAGCTTTTGTAAATAATTTTATAAATACTCATTTTGGATCAAAAATAAAGACAATGAAATAATTATACATACTTAGAGCATAATATAGAATAAAAATAAAATGTGCATACAGATTAAAATTGTAATTCTCTTTATTACCAAATACATCGAAAACAATATAATTTATATAATAATAGTAATAATAATAAAAGGAATCGTTTCAAGTAAAAATGGAACAAAAAAAATCTTCTTTTTTTTTCATAAATAAAAAATTGTCTTACAATTACTGGACAGCTTTGTAGCACCAAATAATTGAATTTATTTCACTTATAACAAAACATTGTAATTGCAAAAACTACGGATAATATCGTAATAGTCATGCTTAAGTATCACATATGCGTCGATAAACGTAAGTCGCGATTTCTCAAAAGGATAAATACAAAACGGTGCGGCCGCAACCAATGAAAGTAAAAGAATGAAGCAAAACCTAACTTGAGCTTAAAGTGAGTAGTAGATCGGAATGAAATGAGTTAAGTACGAATTCTTTTAAATATATTTTATAAAATTTCCTATTTATACAGCATATAAAACAATACTCTGTATTTCACTTTATATTCACACATTAGCGCTATACGACTATACAATTGTCGCAACCTTCATTATATGTATAATAACTTTACATTATTCGGCGGGTCAACGCTCTTTTTGCTTTTCTTTTCTCATCCTCACTCGATCCTCTCCTCGCCTCGAGACGGCGCCTCTCCGCCTGGGCCAGCTCCCGCCGACGATCTCCCTCCATTCCTCACTGCTGCTCGATCGAAGCGATCCTCGTCCCTTTCTCCGCCGGCACCCACCCCACGGCGTCTATTATCCGCTCGAAGACGTCGCAACCGGGCCGCGGTTCCTGCTTCAGCGGACCATCCCACGCAATTCAGGACTCAGTCTTGCCAGATGCGTACTCGGTCAGTCCTAGTGCGGGAGCGCATCGAGGATCGGCTAATCAAGGAAATTGGGCCCAAATTATTGCCTGATTGGGAAGATGTGGCGACTAGGATCTATTATGCACGATCGGGAAACAGCTAAGCTTACGTGAAAAAGTGTGGATTCGTTTGGATCACACCTCTAAGCCACCCCCTCCGCCCCACGACCTTTACGTACAGGACAAAATTATTGCAATTGTGAATAATAACGTCGGAAGAATGACCGAATTATACGTATGGATAGAGACACGCGAGTTTTTAATTGATATTCATTTTTTGTCCCGGGCATTCTCTCTCTCTCTCTCTCTCTCTCTCTCTCTCTATTGTAAACTCTATTGCAAATAATCGAAACGGAGTGTAAATAACTAAACCATACCTTCGATTTTTAAGTCCACCGGAATAACATGAAGGTTGATTATTATTAAAAGTCAAGCTGAATTTAGACGCTTTTACAAACGCTTTTATAGAGCACACCAACGACGAATCATTTCAAATAATAAAAGTTACGCTCCTGTGGCGATACGACTAATTTTAGTAAATTCTTCGAAAGTATTTAATGGGCGTCCATGTTCATTAATTAAAATAATATTTAAAACGAGGGCTTCCTAACTTTCAACATGATTTGCACAAAATTATTTATCAAGAGTATATCAGGATCTATAGACGTAACTTATTAAAATTACTTCCTTTTCTAAATGTACCCAAGATAATTACAGGGCTGTGGTAATATATCGAGTTACCCAATTGCGAAGCTGTAATACGAAATTATATACGTATACTGCACATTATCAAAACTTATTTGAAGAAAAATCTTTTCTAAGGAATTTAATTAACACGGTAATACGGCCAACAGTATAATCGCATTTCTGATAAATCAAGACAAATGTATCTATACAAATGTATAGATACAAATATACGGCATACATATTTAATATAATGAAAGTAATTGATCAATGATTGATTTTTCAATAATTACCTTAATAGCATTGCACATATCGCGATAAATTTTTAATAACAATTGCTCGCAACGATTTGCTTTAAAATAGAAGAGTAAACGACGTTCTTGGAAATTTAAAACTCGCGGGTGTCTCCTTAAATAACGATAACAAGAATAACAATATTTACATGCAAATGGGACGTCAATAATTACACGAAAATTTTAAAAGAAATGCTATATTTAATAGGTTCAAACGATTGTAAATAGTATAATTACGCAGATTTCACGATCATAAGCCTGTGGGAAATTAAAGGGACAATATCGAGAGAGTGAGAGAGAGTGAGAGAGAGAGAGAGAGAGAGAGAGAGAGAGAGGGAGGGAGTAACATAGTTGTCGTATTTAATATCGGGCATTGAGAGGATGGCAATTTGTAAACAGATTAAACAGAGTCTGTTGCTGATAGGCTTTCGAGCTGATCAGCTTTTGTCATTAGATATTACTTATTGAAAAGCAAATGTCCACGAAATTTAAAAGTAAGCTTGATCTATGCATGTTCATAAGATCTCGTCCAATCGACAAAATCGATTATATTCGTACGTTTTAAGATGGTCATATTTATTTCAGCTATAATCATCCGTGAAACATGTCGATACGAACACTAGCATTAAAGAATAATAGGTCGGGGGGGGGGCGCGAGGAGGCGAGAGGTGATGAAGGGAGGTTCTTAGGGAGGAAGAGAAATCTATTATATTGTGATGAATGATAAAGGAATAAAGAATACGTTTGATAACTTCACGTAGTTTGTCAAAAAATGTCAAGACATATTTGGCTTTATTGAATAAAAAACGATAAGGAACGAAGGCTCGTAGTCATAGCTTAGAATTATTTTCCGAACGCAAATTAAGGAATTATTAGTTAGAGGAGCCATGTCATAATTACGGTATAGTTGATGACACGTAGACACATTATCATTAATATCCCTAATGAAATAGCGATCAAACTAGTGAATTTACTTTGCCGACGAAGCAATAAGGGGGAGCGAAGACGGTTCGGCAAATGATAAAAGTTAGAGATATAACTTTTAGGATGCCTGTAGCATAAACCTCATTGATTTCTTTAAGCAAGAAAATAAAAAAAGAAAAAAATAAGAAGAAAAAAAGGTGGGAAGAAAGTGGAAAAAACCTGTAAAAGTATCATAAATCTTTAATGAGCGATTTAAATTCTGAAATAACGTAAACGTATAAAGCAAAAGGGTTTGCCAGGGCAATAATCCAGTTTGCTATGTTTTTCAACAAATTTCATCGGATCCCCGAGCCACTACTTGTTTTCAAATGTGCAAAAACCTTTATAAAAAATAGATATTTTAGACAGTCCGATGTAATAGATGAAACTGTTATTCTATATGCATTGGAGAATTGAACAGAGTCGAGACTAGAGAAGCGAGATCGAATCGTTGAAAATTAAAAGTGCAGCTAATCAATTTCCAATAAGAGAAAAAGGCTTAAAATTAATCTTTAAGAAGAGACGTTGTTATTAGGGCAATGTCATTAAAAATTAAGGATACGGATTTGGCAGGCTCGTAAAAAGCGAATCAAATTTTCCTTTCCTATCAAAAGTTCTGAGAAAGCTAATTTTAATGATTACGGTAAGGAGTCATTCGACTTTGCACTAATTGTGCAAAAATGATATGATCCGAGATAATGCTATTATGCTGAAAATCGTATAACTTCCCAATACTCTCGCGTGACTTATATAAAATTTATAACTTTTGCGTAATTTGCATCTTCGATAAGCCTGGCGCGGGCGCGAAACATTCGCGAGGCAACATTTCGCCTCGACGAGTGAATCAAACTGGCAGAAAAAGGCGATATTTCGATATGCCGACTGTCGAACTGACGGAGATATACGGCAAAGGAATTGATAAGGACTCTTTCACCATCGGAAATCATGTATAAAATGAGCTCACCCTTGAGACCGACGCCGAGACAAGCGTCGATGACCTCGTTCCTCGACTGCTTTCGTTGCTTCCGCTGCTTCTGTTGCTTGTTCCCTAAATGATTGTGAACAACCGCGTGATTCAAATAAACGGCCTCCTGCTTGCCGAGGTACTGGGGATCCTCGATGACTTGCTGCTGCTGCTGCTGCTGTTGTTGTTGGTGTTGTTGTTGTTGTTGGTGTTGTTGTTGTTGTTGTTGGTGGGTTGTTGTTGTTGTTGTTGTTGTTGTTGTTGTTGTTGTTGTTGTTGTTGTTGTTGTTGTTGTTGTTGTTGTTGTTGTTGTTGTTGTTGTTGTTGTTGTTGTTGTTGTTGTTGTTGTTGTTGTTGTTGTTGTTGTTGTTGTTGTTGTTGTTGTTGTTGTTGTTGTTGTTGTTGTTGTTGTTGTTGTTGTTGCTGCTGCTGCTGCTGCTGCTGCTGCTGCTGCGGCTGCTCCTGGGACTCGGACTTATGCTGGCTGGGGGCTGCCACATGACGGTGTACCCAGAGGCCGTCGTCGAAGAGGCCGTCTTCCTGTCCGACCGCCAGCACCTCCTTCGGCAGTCTGCTGATGCGTGCGCGCACGATGGCCAGGTGACGGTGCACGTAGTCCTGCTGGGGCGCTAAGACCGCCGCCCTCTCGAGGCACTGCTCGGCCATCCCCAGTCTACCTCGCTCCACCATAACCACGCAGAGGTTGTGCAGGCCCTGGATATTGCTCGGATCCAGCTGAAGGATTCGCCGGTAGCACTGTGGTAACCAAAAAAAGTCGGGCGCGTCTTTAGCATTTAGGTATGCCACTGCTCGGATACTCAAGATTCGCGAATCTTGGGCTTGAATTCGAGGGATGATGATGAGTTACGAGAGGGAAGGAGGGATGTACCTGCTCCTACCCGAGGCCTATTGGACTCGAATCTAATGCTCAACTTTATGATGAAATGTGCGCGGAGCCTCTTACGACTGGGCTTTATTTATCATTATTTACATTCTCGTCTGAAAGCCACTCCCCCACTTCCCACTCCACCACAATCTTGTATTATAAGCTCTTTATAATACCTCTAGCTTATTATGTATTAATTTATATTTCATAAAAATTAAATCCTGAGTCAACATATAAGCATCGTTAGGGGCTAGCGTCACACAAATACCTACTCTTACCTTAAAGCGAGGCAAGAGCTTAATATTAACGGAACTACGAGCATTTTATTTCAGATAATTCAAATGTGCGTTCGTTGAAGCAATTGAGAAGAATTAAAATTATATAAGCATGCCCTTGCTTTTTTCTCACTTTTTTTTATTTTCTTATTAAAGTAAGCTCCAATATAATGCAAATAATATAATAATAATATTTAACAATATGCATGCAGTTCCATATATTTATTTTTAGAAATGAAAGTAATACAAAATGTTCATATCGGCCACTGATATTACTTCTTTAAAAAAAGAAAAACACTTACCAAAATCTACCTTTTAAAAGCTATCGCTTTCTTTAAAAAGTGCAGGCATACAATTGAATTAACATTGAAGAATTGTCGTGTTTACAATCGCTTAAGCGCAATTATTACCAAAAAAAAAAAAAAAAAAAAAAAAAAAATGTTTACATGAACTGTAAACTACTTTTATTAAAAGTAAAATGTTGATGTTTGTTTGTTTGTTTGTTTGCGATTATGTCTCTTTGCATGCGCGCGTGGGCGTTCATCAAACACGTAGAAAAATTACATAATAAAACATGACAATATAATGGCAATTTATAAGAAGACTGATAAGATTCTGAGAGCTTTTTTTTTCAAAAAAAGCTTATAATTCCTCTAATTTAACATTATAATTGTATTCTTCTATCATTTTTATAAATTAATGTTTAATGCCTCTTTAAACGAGCATCAGCTATGAAATAATAAGCGAAAAAATTTCTGAGTTTTCTTAGTTTGAGAACAAAATGAAGAACCAGTTACTTGGATTTAAAGTCTATATTTAAAAAAAAAAAATAAATAAATAAATAAAAGTGAAATCATAAATATAGCGAAGCGTAGATATACATAATCCAATTGAAGAAGATTTGTAAACTAGGTCAGGTCTAATATTAAACAAGAACAGCGTCTGAGTAATGGATAAAATAGCTTATTATAATATGAAAAAACTTCTTTAAGAATGTACGAAAGGGTTATAAAATGCTAGTAAAGTCGAGTGAAATATAAGGAATTTGACTAAAAGGAAGTTCAACTAAAAGAACTGAAGAACATAATTTTGTGAAAACAAAAGCGATTATCACGAGTGAATCAAACGTAATGCATTGTATTACAAATTGGGCATTATAAGCAATAATAAATTGCTTTAACATAAAACAAAACAACAATTAATACATTATAACAATTATAGAAATAATCCATTCATTCCAATAAGTATTTGTATATGAAGATATATATTTATTAATCGAAAGGAATAAATTATTATGTATACAGTCTTAAAGTTCCATCTGTTATATTATTAAAGAAACTTCTAGTAAGAAGATAATATGAAAGACTCTCAATATCAATTACAACACATGGAATAAGCAAATTAATCAAATATTTACAAACCAATTTATTAGATGAAACAGAGGAATTTTATCTAATAATTTTCTAAGAATCCAATAACTTGTAATAATTAAAACGATATAAAGTATTACTATATCTTCATGTTTCACAAATAATTAATAAAATACAAAGTATATTGATAGAGTGACATAGTGCGGTAAACTTTCAAATGTATTTAATGAAAAAATCAATTAATAATTTTAAAAGTAAATTTTGCTTCGCTCAAACAAATAACTAAAAGTGAAAATTAAAAGCAAAAACATTAAGGAAATAAAGTCTATAATGTAATATTTTCAATCGACACTTTTCAAGCCGCAATAAATTATATCTCGGAAAAAATAAAAAATTTATCATCATAACTTCAATCGTCAATCATAAAGAAAATATTTTGATTGGTTTCATAAAAATGCAATATATGTACGTATGTATTGCGAAATTTATGCTAATGATAAAATATTGGCGCAAACAAGAAATAAAACGAGAAAAGACAAAACTCGGAATGAAAATGCGATGTGAAACGCGAGACACGAGACCGAATGTGTCCGTGGTAAAGGCCATAAAAAATAATTTTATATAAATATGTGGGAAAAATTTTTTTAAAAAATTGTTGTATGAAAGGATAAGAAAGAATATTGTCTTGACATAATATCCCAACGTCCAGAAAGTTAAATTTTTTAAATGTTTGTTAACGACAGTTTATTAATTTAGTCTGGAAGCGATAAATATTACTGATGGATATAAATTCTTTTACTTTTGTACAAAAATTATCGTCTTTCCTCGTAAATAAAATGCACTCACATAGAGTATTGATTATCTGCATACATGATTACATGTAAATTACAACGCACTTACTCGTTTCTGACAAGTTTCTTCAAACGTTTTGAAACTCGCATTAAAAATGATATATACTTTCATTATAATAAGACCAAAATTTAACTACTAAACGATTCACGAATGCTAACCATTTGTTATCAGTGTAATTGAATTGAACATTAAAAAGTAAAATCAGCTTAAAATTCTTTACTCTATTCATTCATATAATCCTCTCAAAATTTTCATGCCAATATATATATATATATATATATATGCAGTCATTATTATATTATATTGTTATACGGATTCCTTGACTTTAAATTTGCAATTTTTCATTTTTATACATCAAAGCGCATGAATTTAAAACATTTTTAATGAATCAACAGGATTTGAAAGTCCAGACTCACTCGCAACCCTATATTATAATAGATAGAAATCAATGATATAAATTTTATGTATCAGAAATATAATAATGATTGTTAATCTATTTCACTTTTCACAAAATCCCTATATTCGATAACCATAGAATATAATCTTGAATTTTTTTATGAAATTAAATCGAACCGTAAGAGTCCGCAGGAGAAAAAAAATCTTGAAAAAACAATAGTTTAACGTAATTTAAACATTTTTCAGCAACATCTAAAATACTTAATTATATGGAAATATTATGAAAACGAATAATTTATCGCTTATTGAATGAATAAATACGTGATTTAGGAAATAATAAGAACTATTAATCAAAATTGATACGTTAATATATAATAAACGATTTTTTTTTTTTTTTTTAAAGATTTGATGCTGTTATGTTTGTCAAAGAATCTTAAAAAAAAAACTAATATTATTTATTTAAAAATGAAATGGAATAACTGGTAACGTATCATAAGTTTCCAAAGGACAGAAAGATAAATGTATGGAATAACTGGTAACGTATCATAAGTTTCCAAAGGACAGAAAATAATAAGATAAATGATCGAACAATACAGATTTCTGAAACATATCACAAAAAACAAAAGTGCCGAGTAAAATATTTCTTCAACTATAATTTTTCTGCCACTCAAAACTATTTCTGAAGATTTAAAAAGTAAGTTTATAGAATGTACGGAAGAAAGTAATGAAATCTCCAATTCTTATACTTTAGATCACAACGAAAAGTTTATGTAATAAAGTGTATATATATATATATATAAATGTTTTATATGCGTCTGTATAATTACAAATACTGGGAATTTTATTGTTAATGAAAATTATTGAAATGTGAAGTATATTTTAAAAATATAATAGAGTTGGGATATCAATGTGTATAACATTAGATTCAGAAAAAAGAGTTAACGATAAATAAATATAAAATAAAAAATTTAAACTGATTGTTCGATAAGCGAATTTTAAATGTATCTAATATTTTCAAATCTTTTTTAAATTTAAATTCTTAAAAGGTATATACTACTAAGGTATATTTCTATAGCGTATATTTTATGAAAAAAGAAAGGATTTTTTGTTTTTTAAATTGAAAAGAGTACAAACTTTTAATTAGTGCAAAATTATTTTCAATTATTTTATTTTTGTACCACAAAAATATCCATCTACACATATACACATATACATGTATACATATAATTAAAGCAAGACTTTTTTAAACAAGTAGAATGATGTATAGAGCAAAGAAGAAGTTCAAAAGTAATGATATTGCTTAACTTCTCACACAAATATCGTTTAACGTTATTTAAATTAATATTAAAAAAAAAAAAAAAAAAAAAAAAAAAAAATTAAATTTGAAATAAAGTGAAAAATCCAAATTGCTAATTTCAAATTATTATTGTATTAAGCCAACATGGCGGATGAAACATTAAGAGATTAATATTTTAAAACTGAATCTATAAAATGATAACATATTATGCTCATATCCCTTATAGTTGCAAGGAAATGTCTACAGACAATAATAATAACATTACGAGCCACGACGTCATAAGCACGTGACGAAATAAATAAAAAAAATAATAAAATAAAAAAAAATAAAAATAAAAAAAAAAGTGAGAAAGCAATAATCGCTCGAGAGCTAATGAAAGTTAATGAATGAAGTAGTACGTACATTTTCAGCCGCATCCAAATCCTTGATGTTGTTAATATAAATGTCGCCGAGTAAAATTAGACCTTTCACGTGATCCGGATGAAACCTGACTAATTGATTCAGAAACGGAGCAGCCTCCAATGGACGCTGCTCGTCGGCCAACAACAAGGCAAGATTAAAAAGGGCTGACCTGAAGTCCTCTTTCAACGCAACGGCATTTCTGAACCATCGTTCTGCGCTCTCACTGTCATGATCGTCCATTGCCAGCATCCCAAGATTAAAATGGACCCTCTCGTTATTCGAATCCTGCATGAATGGCCGACAAATTTTCATTCATATGGATTTCGAAAAATTTGTTCAATTCCCTTAATCCAAAGTTCGATTTTATTTGAAATTCATTGGTGCTATTGATAGAATTAGCATGAGAATTTAATGAAAAATAATAAATAAATAAATAAATAAATAAATAAATAAATAAATAAATAAATAAATAAATAAATAAATAAATAAATAAATAAATAAATAAATAAATAAATAAATAAATAAATAAATAAATAAATAAATAAATAAATAAATAAATAAATAAATAAATAAATAAATAAATAAATAAATAAATAAATAAATAAATAAATAAATAAATAAATAAATAAATAAATAAATAAATAAATAAATAAATAAATAAATAAATAAATAAATAATAATAATGATAATAATAATAATAATAATAATAAATAATAATAAATAATAAATAATAAATAATAAACAATAGTAATAATAATAAAATAAAGAAAGAAAGAAAGAAAGAAAGAAAGAAAGAAAGAAAGAAAGCAAACAAATAACAAAAAATAAAAATCGTTTCGAATAAAAGTTAATTCACATTTTGACAGGCGGTCGAAAGCTTATATAATAGCTTTCTCAGATGCATTAAATAATCATGGAATAGTATTTTATCTAAACGAGCTGAGCGCGAGATTTTATTAATTTATTCATACACAGACCCTCGTGCTGTAAAATTACCTTTCTCAGCAATTTTAAAAGCCGTTCTCTGGCAACTTTACGAAGCTCCGCGCGACCCAACTCTTGCAACAATATTGCAGAATTCAATAAAGCTTGCTCGTGCTCCGGATCGAATTCCAAAGCTTTGTCAAGATAAGCCAGAGCTTGCGAGGCCTTGCCTTGCTCCAAAAACACGACGCCCAACTACAGATCAAAGCATAAGCTACATTATTCATCACCTTGTCGAGCCAATGTTTGGTTTATGTGAGATGACTTACATTATAATAAATGTCCGGATTGTTACTGTCATAAAATAGGGCCCGTTCGTAAACTTCTTGGGCTTCCTTTGTACGATTGAGTTTGATTAAAACGTCGCCACGATTGATGTACGCTAAGGTGTAGTCCGCTCGCATGCTGATTGCTTGCCTGTAGAGAAGATCGGCCTCCTCTAATCTCGTGGCGTTCTTTGCTATGAGATTGGCCAGATTGACGAAAACGTTTAGGTGATTCGGTGCTATTCGTGCTTGGTAGGACTCGCCTGGCTTAGCCTTCGGCAACAATGATTTCGCCTGGAAATAATAAGGACGTGTCGTTAAATTGCGTCGATCTTTTTGTCGTCCTCGTCTACTTTGTTCATCGTATTTGTTGGCTCGACTCCTCGCGAGCAAGTGTAACAGAGCCCTAAACGACGAGTTTTTTTTTTTTTTTTTTTTTTTTTTTTTTTATTAAAATATATCCAATCGTCCATTGGACTTCGGTTTTTGGATTGGCTTTTACATTACAGAAACTAGGCGAGTTTGAGGAGGGAGAAGAGAAACTCCATTATAATTATGCCCATTACAAATATGCTTCAAGGATAGGGCCCGTATGATTGTACGCATATTAATTAATCGTGGAATTTAAAAACTTGTAAAAAGTCATAATAATGTCGAAGTTCGAACGTTCACGCATTGAGATTATTAAAGCTCACCTTTAAGTAAGCATCCTCGGCCTCCTTGAACATTTTCAAATGATTGTAAGTCCGGCCGACGTTAATGTGAGCACCAATGTCGTCGCCTTGGACCTGTACAGCCATATTGAAGAAGTTCAGAGCTTCCTTAAAACGACCTTGACTCTCCAGTGCGTGGCCAACATTGTTAAAAAGCTTGGCGTTTCGATCATTGACTTTAAGTCCAGACATAAATATCTGATACTCGTCCAACCAATCATAATTGCGCACATAAGTTTTTGTCGCGTGTGCCACCAATAGCACCAATAGGAGAAGCGTGAATAATTTTTTACTGAAACAAAGCCAAGAAAAAGAAAAAAAAAAAAAAAAAAAAAACATAAACAACAAAAGGTATGATTAATTCTCGATTCTGGATAATTTTTTTAAACGAATTTTCTCAAAATTATGAATGAAATGGAACTTTATCGAGATGGTTATTATTATATTATCTTTGATTACCTTTTCTCACAAAGTATGTGCGCGCCGTATCCAATGAGCATACAGAAACCCATAGAAGGTGCATATAAGACTCTCTCGGCCACGACAAATCCAACGGGAAAAAATAGATTCGAAGCAGGAAGAAATGGAAGAACCATCATTGCCAAACTCTGTAATAAGTGAATAAGAAGAAAGATTCATAATAGTAGGGGAAATTGATTGGATGGAAGAGAGGGGTGCGAAGGGTGATTATTATAAAGTGAAAGGTACAAACCATTATGATTATTATCGACGTTTGTCTACTACGCGTTAAAACAGCTGTGAATAAAAGTCCTACCACCGTCGTATAAGCCGCGATCGTAGCTACATTTCTAACGTCCAATAAAGTTTCTAGCAGCGGTATCGTTCCCATCGTCCAGTCGCAACACAAGTCGATTGGAAGGAATAGCAACCGGAGGTTCACGGCTGCCAAGTAATTGTACGTTAACTGTCTCGTCGGTGTCGAAGCTACCGATGCTGGATTGTCAAATCTGAAAGCAAAACGTGTCAAAGTAACGTTAACGCGCTACCGCGTCTCGCTTTAATGAGAAAGGCAATTGTAAATTACGCCACGCGATAAATGCAACTGCACAAGTTTACCGGTAAATGTAAAAGTGCAATCGCAATCGGGCTAAGCGATAATACTCAACGATACTCGGTATGAATGTCCACGGAAGCCAGTGTCGCAATGTAACGTAAATTAATCGATTGAAAATCTTTGATGTAAGGAGCTACGTTACAACATGGCCCTATCGTGTTTATTGATGGATTGGAGAGTATTGATGGAGATTATTGATAAGTCACCTATCAAAAGCTATTTAATAAGTTAACCGTGCATACTAAATCGTAAAATTGTAATTGACCTTGGCTTTCGTCGATTCATCCCGTTTGTATTTGCACGTGAAAGTAAACTGTGAGGATTACCTGGTAAATACTGGCAACTTCGAACCCATTACGTGTAATCTTAAAATTAACAAGCTGAAGGTCACGAGGGTAACAGCCGTCAGACGTTTCGTACCCTCGCTCGACCAGGTCGGCGAAATCTTTTTACCATCGAAGGCCGACTTCACCGCTAATATAATATCCATAGCTCTAACCTGCGGAAGGAGAGTAGAGGAAAAGTCTTACAACTTGGCGTCGCACTTCATCCCCGCCTGCCCGAGAATAGTTAATACTTAATCTCATTACCCTTTGTACAACAAAAATTTCATACAAAACGCAGACCGCCGTGGCCGTGATTCCTTGCTCCTTGCACAGCATGGCGATGAATACAAAGAACATCGACATTATTAATGATCGCCATCCTGGTACGCGTCAGTTAGTAAACAAAGTAAGACAGTTAGTATTGGTTAGTGAGCTTTGTGTGCGTGTGCGTGTGAGTGTGCGTGTGAGTGTGCGTGTGCGTGTGCGTGTGAGGTGGCGTATAGCGATAAAAAAAAAAATTACACAGCGGGCCTCATTTACCCCGCTTACACTATCTAAACGTGCTCACCTGTACATCTCTTACTTCTGCAACACTTAGTATATGTTATTAAAGCTGCCAGATAAAATAAGGACGATAACGTTTCCGCTCTTCCGACAACTCCCGTAACCTAGAACGTAACCATTGTTTTTAATCGTGTCGCCAAGTGAGCGAGAGCATGAATATAAATTGTCGAATAAAGCTCGGCTTACCGCCTCCGTGTGTATGGGATGAACAGCGAATAGAAGAGCAGATACGAAACTTGCTACGTCTGGTAAAAACATCAAACATGTCCTAAAATGGAAAACGTGCATTCTTTTAGTAAAAATTCTGAAGATTGTAATATTGCAACTTAAATATTTTATTAATCCATCATTCGCTAATGGAATTATTTGTATTGTCTAATAAAACTAATTACGTAATGAACAAATTTTCATTAACACTGCCAAGTAGGTATTGCACGAGCTGTTATTTCAAGAACCTCCACTTCTCTAATCAATCAATACGAATAAACAATATTTTACTATAAGTTCCTTCCCATTTACAATTCCAATTTTTATTAATTGTAAAAATTAGTCGCTAAATGTTACAGGTGGAGAGAAAAAAGATATTACGACTTGAAAAAATTTGTCTTACCTTTTATTAAAAGTTTTTACATAAAACAAAAAAAAAAAAAAAAAAAGTTAAATTATTGGCGAAAGAAAAAAACAACAAATTGTATCAATTACACTCACTGCATAAATACACCGTGGGTATGAGCTTAAAGCAATAAACATAAATTTAAGTAATTACGTCTCATTAAAATTACTGTCAATTTGGTAACTGTAATTTCGTAAAATTCTTTTCTATTTTTTTTTTTTTTTTTAACCAGGATATTTATTTTGCGACAGTCTTTCGCAAAACCATTCCTTCACACATATGAACACAACATACGAACCTGGTGTATTTAAAATTTACGCAACACTGGATCTATTGCACGTCCACTATTGATAAGATAATAATTTCAATCATTCCATGTTGTGCGATGCATCTGCAATGTTGCATAAAATTCCAACAAGCACAGATGCACTTAAAGTTATTAAACCACCGTAAGCGTATTTGTATTTGTTAGAAAAATCATGGATAATTTTACAAGGGGCGCTTATAGACATGTCAGTAGTTCGTTGTGAGTAGGATTTGCTCGAGTTTTGCTCAAAGCCATTTTATCTATGTTTCAAATATTTTGATTTTAGGATGGTAAAATGGCAAATAATAATGCACGTATGAGCGTATACATACAATACCGACTACGTAGAGTGAAATATTCTTTTAATCTCGTACTTTTGATGTCTCGGGGCATTCCCGCTATGTACCTTCAAATGTATATACTTATAAACATTACATGCAGCTCTGTTTCAACATTCGATAAATGTTGAATGTATTTATTTCATACTGCAACATAATTAGCTATTAAATGGCTTTATACAAATTGAAAATACGTTTGACTTCATTCATTTGTCCAACAGCAAAAAATTATTTAACCATTCCCCTCCGTTTTGTCAAATAATCTTTATCGTCATTTCACCGCAAAATCTGAATTCAAATTAAGCAGTACGTGGCAGCTCCGGTGTATCGATAAAAAATCCGATTAAAGATGCGCAATTACGCCACTTTGCACATATTACAAAGATGCTCTTCGTTGTTTTTCCGTAAGGAATTTCGAAAATTTCGCTCATTCCAGACACTCTAAAGTGATACTAAGCTCTAATGAATATAATTTTTATGTAGCCATACTATTCTTGTGTCAACGCACTCCTTTCGTTCTTGTCGATAAGCACGCATTGCTGTCTCGTAACCGTTTTATCACGACCCTGTACATACCCTCCATCTCTTGTCTTTGCGACGCATACACGAAAGAATATGTTTAGCTCTAGTATTTTGATCGCGCACGCGCACTGATCGATTGCCGATCTTTCATCTGCCTTAATGATAATAGTGTGAACGTGCGATGGAGTGATTTTTTTTATTGCTCACTCAGGGCCATAAATATTCCTGCAAAATTATTATCCATTGTAATAATAATTTTACTTCACCACTACGTACGGTGCTAGAGTTTTGCATCACTTATTATAAACGAAGACCTTACGTACCGCTACTTTCGCTTATCCTCGCTTCTAGGTTTTATCGTTACTATTACCGTTTTTACCGTATCAAATTACCATCCTATGCGCAATTAAGCAAATTATTTTCTCCCTTAAAATGACGAAAAGACTCGGACATTCTGTGTTATCTCGCGAGTAAACACTCGATCTTTAGCCACGAGAAACGCAATGGAAATGAAAGAAAAGCCGAAGAGAAAGATAGAGCAGGACCCCACTTAGCCCTGTTTAAGAGTACGTACTCGCCGCAAAAAAATAACGGAAAAAGAAAACGCGAACAACTTGTAGACGCGCATATAGGGAGCCTCGCCGACTCGTTGGCTCAACTACTAAGGGAGATGTCGCATATTAGAATTTGCCATCGACTCGCGGCTGCGAAGTGGATGAAAGGGCACCGAAGGGCCAGAGATGAAGTGCACGAGGAGCGATCTAGGCTCGACAATATAATAAAAAGAATAAAAAGGAGCTTACTCCGGCCCCGCTCCACTCTACACACTACAGCGTGCACTTTCTCTCAAATATTAACAATTCATCGATTAAATAACATTAGATAACATAAGCGAAACTCGGGCATTTGCTATGATTAGGAACGGCGTTCGCTGTATCTCTTGCTTCATCGGCCGAGAAAATTGAAGAGCAAAGGATTTGTGCAGTGTAAGACATCCTGATGAAAAACACGTGTTTTTTAACGAGCATTAAACTAACACAAATTCCCTTTAGAATTATAATATTTGTTGAAATCTTCGAAGTTTACGTGACATGACATGATGACGATGACGATGACGATGAGGATGACGATGACGATGACCATAACGATGACGATGTGTATGTATACGTATGGGCGCGGGCGTTAATATATAGGGACGTGTCTCTAGAATAGCAAATGCAAACGCTTTTAATTACTTTACTTTGACTGTACGCGCTCGAGGGTGATAAAGTAAACGTAAACTTACAATCCACGGAATATGAAAAGCTTGATAAAGAACATTTAAAATAGAAAAACTACAAGTCGTTATTATGAAACTGATCATTTGGTCGCTCATCTTCTCTAGCTTTTGTATTATTAGATTTTATAATGTTAAATGAAAATATTCTACCCGAGAATCTACAATTACATTGTTTTAATCATTTTCACGATTATTTACCATTTCTAAAATAAATATTTTTTCCAAGAGATTATTGCCCTATAGATATTAAAACATTAATTTTACGTGTAAGTAACTTTTATTGATAACCTGGCACTCATAAAGTATTGGCCAACTTATTGGAATATTCATTAAACTTTATCGGTTCATCATAAAAAATAACACAAATTATTATGAATTTGTCGAAATTCTCATTTCACTTTTGCTAAAATAAAGCTCGATAAAATCATCCGTTAAATATATTACTAAACTGCATAAAAATTAAATTAATTAACTAAAGTTGTAAACAAAATTTTGTATTATTGTTGTTGTTGTTGTTGTTGTTGTTGTTGTTATTATTATTATTGTTATCATTATATTGTAATATTATTTAGAAAAAAATTTTTTTTTAAATTATTTCACTACTTCAATTACAAACATCGGCTTCTCATCGCAATCCTTTATAAATTTATCAATCAACGACTAACTCAATTTATTCCAAATTTCATAATTTTAACGTACTTAACTAATTTTTAACCACGAACGATGATACGAAGAATTAATTTAGACTTAACAGAAATATAAAAGAAGCATAACAATTATTTTATAATTTACTTTAACATTTTATGCTTGTATACTTGAAGCGTCAATTTAATTTTCTCATCACTGAAATTTCGCATGTATAATTACCCTCCTCTTCGTTAAATCCTTATAATTAGTGGTGCTAAATTAATTGTCAAAATAATGTAAATGAAAACGTCACATCTTCTATAAATTGATAGGAATCACTCTGTAGCGCGTACTTGCAATTTAATCCCTTTAATCCGCACGAATGAAAGAAAAAATAATAATAATAATAATAATTATTTCAGAAATAACAAAAATTTCGATCAATCAAACGACCTTCAATTGACCTTTCGATCAATCAAAAGGCTCATAATATATAAACGATCATACATGAAAAGAAACTAATAAATATACACGATTTTATTCAAGTAGATTCATACGCAGTATAGAGGGAAGATACTATCTTAACAATAAAATATTCATGAACAAAATTTCACGAACGAATTTCAAAATGACGAATTACCAAAGACCATAAATAAAATTAATTGCTGATAATTAGCAAAAAAAAAAAAAAAAAAAAAAAAATCTAACATAACCTTCTTAGCCATTATTTAAATTACTATGCTTTAAAGTATTTAAATACACGTATTAATAAAAAGTTAAATTACATTATATAAATAGAGTAAAAAAAAAAAACTTTAAAGTATTTAATCACCGTAAAATAAGAGTCGAAATAAATGTGAATGATGAAATGAATAAAATTTAGAAAATTCTCACAAACGATTCCACATTCATAATGATTGCAGTTAAGCAAATACGCGATAATATTGAATGAAATCGAATAAAATCAATATTTTCAAAGTAATATTGAAAAACTTAGTTTTCGTTATTGGCGAATTAATAACGGTTCGAAGATATCATCAAATACTTCAAATAGATATTAAATATAAATAATTTATTATGCGAAATCTATAGAATTATTTATTTCAGCGAAAATATCGAACTTCCTGAATTCAGCAGGTAATATAAAACTGAATATCTTAAACTTGAGATTCAATAACTTCAATATTATTACATTGAAGTCGGCCACGGATAAAAGAAAGCAATGTACTTTTAAATTGTAATTAGCAGCAGAAATTGTTTCTTAAAAGCGACTTAATATGTTGATTCATAATATCTTACCAGAATTTCGTGCCAACGAAAATGTAACGATACATTTGAAGTTGTAAGATAAAGCTATTTTGACAAAATAATTGTTTCCAATTAATTCTAATTCAACTTGTTATAATTAATTAATAATACCCTTATAAACACACATAAAAGAGAGTTGACAATTGATCGAATATGCTAACACGTAGAATCCCGTTTATTATTACTGCATTAATTATACAATATTGTATATATCGTTTTTAATGGATATATATTTCGCATGGCTGAATCGACAAACTCATTTAAATAATAATTTTTCAAAATTAAAATATGGTTAATAAATTATTTACACTGAAGTATCCGTTGCAGGTATTATTAGCTTTCAGTTAAATTACAATTCATCGGTTTAGCTCAATTTTTACATAAAATGAAAAAACGTTTGCAATAAAAATGAATAAAGACAGATACAAGTGTAATTATTTAATAAGTCATAAAAGTCAGATATTGTAAAATGATTAAGATTTTCATAGGAGATTTCTAGGCTACATTAAGATGATCCGTTTTAAAGTATGGAAAATCTCAAAGTATGTATTCAGGCAACAAATTGTTTTTTTTTTTTTCCTTTTTCTTTCAGTCGAATGTGTATCGCGAATGAATTCATAATTTCCTAAATAGTGAGATAATAAAATTGCATTTTATTGCTCGGTTGTATTCAGAATTTAATACACTATGGTTAACTATCGTGAGATACTTTAAATTTCGAATAAAAGACAGTCTTTACTGTATCGCTGTTCTTTCTCTTTAAATTTCACATAGATTTGTCTTGTAACTCTTTAATGTCTCTTCAAATTTTAATAATATCCAATATTTTAATTCAATATTCTAACGACCATCCGTTTGGTTAAAAATGTACAAAGCTATAGTATCTTAATAAATTAAATATTCGTCGCAACTAGAGCGTTAAGCGCTTAATCGGGGCGGATACAATGGTGTTATAAGTAATGAGAATCTTAATTCAATGCATTTGAAATTGGGTCGAGATACCAAAACCTATCCGGGGCCCAGTATCCACATAAGAACAATGATCGTAAAAACTACTATCTTAACAAAATATTATAATTAGCATAATAACCTAATTCAAGATAATTATAAAGATTCTAAATAATTGAAATAGATGAGTTTTCAGTTCATTTGACTAGTTTATGGTGATCCTAATCAATCGTCAATAATGCCAACAATATATTCATTTAATATTAATAAATTAAATATAAGACAATAAAATAAATAATTAGTGTAAAATAATTAATATGATGAAAATTAATTTTTAAATTTAACACTGATATAGTATTTTTCAGCAATGATAGTAAAGATTGATTTTAATTAAAATTACAAAAAGTCCTTTCAGCATACTATCTTTAGTGATAACATAAATAAGCAATTGTTCGAATTCGATAAATAATGTTGATGTAAAGATAATTGAAACACGTGGATTGGGACGAGCAAGATTCATAATAATATCAAATAAAACAACGACGTGCAGAGTTTACTGGAAGAAAAAAAAAAGAGGAAAAAAAAAAACTTGAAAATCCGAAATCATTACGCAAAATAAGACGAATACCAGAAAAGAATTTTAAATTAGAATTGGGAAAAGTAGCATACAAGCAAGAGCTCCAGATATATTTGATGCAAAATCGAGATGTAAAATAGTGATGGAAAATAAGAAAAAATGCCAACTGACACGGATCATGGTAAATAAGGTTTATACATATAATATCTTAAAGAACAAATTTCTGAATCTAAATGAGATGTGAAAAATAAGAATATAAAAATATTCATATTGATTGAAGATTTTTTAATTCACCATTTTATATTTGTAATATATAATTTTAAGTAATTCGCCGATTCATGATAAAAGCTATTTTACCGTCTTTCAAAATTTGCTTGTAAAAGTTAAAATTTTAATACGATGTCAAATTGTAAATTTAATCTTTATATAATATCATTGATATGTATATATGAAAATTATAATATATAATATGAAAGGATGCTTCCGTAGAAAAACAGAGGGTCAATGTATTTGATATTAAAATTAATTAATTAAGTTTACGCTTTGAATGTATAATCTATGTACATTATTGTATGGAGAATTAAAGTAATATATCGAAACCCTTTCAATTGCTTAAAATTACAAAAATCACTATTATTTAATCCTTACATAATTTGCAAATCTTTTCAGTCCGTTTGAAAACAAAAAAAAAAAAAATTAATTAAAAAGTACTATTCATTTCTTCAATAAGTATCACTGAATGCTCGCAATATGAATAACCAGCAATTTCATTTTCCAGATTTTCAACGAATTTCAACAATTTTTTTTTTTTCTTCTTTTTTTTTTTTTTTTTACTGCGCTCTACCAATGTTTCAATTTGCATTTTCTTTTTACATATTTCTTTTCAAATTAGAAAAAGAAAATATAGAATAGCAGGTCTGAATTAACCAGCAGACTTGCCGATCAATATAGTTACCTACGCCTACGCGCTCATTCAGCACAACTCGAAATATTCGCCTATACGTAGAATATATACAGTACCCACCTGAAGTACAAGAGGCAAACTCCAATATGCAGAATAACGTTAAGCAGATGATATCCCATGGGATCCAATTGATGTATCATGTAATTCCAACGGAATGTGAGGACACATAGCGGCCTATACGATTTGTGCGATTGTTCCTGAATAAAAGCAAAATGTATTTCAATTATAATATTTTCAAACGTTACATTAATTCTTGAAGAATGTAATATCGTTGCACAAAATAGGTATAAATTGCAAGCAATTGTAATGAAAATGACCTTGGCAAAATTATTTAATAAATTACTTTGAAGATTGGATGATATATTACATTTTATTATCGCTTTGCTAAATCCATTGCCTAGGAATTCATCTTCTTTTTACATTTGGATGTAAGATTTCAGTCTATTTGGTATTTAATCATTGAATAAATGAAAAATACATAGTGTAAAATACATTTAAATATTTGGCAAAAAGTTTTTAAACATTTAATAATGACACATCTACTTTATTCCTTAAATCAAATATTTATTGAAATTGATTTATGTATAATAAAGATGTAATTTAGATTGAAAAACTTTGTACACACGTTCCTTGTATTGGAAATAAATTTCTAATAGTTTTTTATAACAATTTATAATATATTTTACAATGATTGCCCTTACGATGATATAATTTCAATAAATAAATTGGCCGTTTACTATTACTATTACTATTACATAATGTCATTCGCTGATAAATAAATTGTATAATAACATAAGAGTATTAACATCTCATTATGTAAGTAAACAAATAATATTACAATTTTTCCATAATTTTGAAATTAATAAATTCGAATGCAATAAGAAAGTTTTGCAAAATTTTTGCACAATTTTCATACACTTTTATTATATTTTTTTTTGTGAATTTTAGAAATAAAATAATTTATTCTTAGAATTCAAAATAGAAATTTTCATTACGTGCCAACATTGTAAACTTGAAATTTATGACTAGAGGCATAAGTTTAGCAAGTATCAGCTCTACGTAGTTGAAACAGTTCGTTACTTTGTATCGCCGTATCAAATATGGTAATAATATTTAAAACATTGAGCTTTATCACTCTTTAAGATTAATTACAGTAAACTAGATGTAACTTTACATATGCCGTACCATTCTTGATTTATCTACAACAGACTGGCACATGCATGGTTGTCTCGCTCGCACTCGCGCGCAACGTAAACAAGCGCATATCAAAAGGTATGAAAGTTCAAACGAAAGATTTTAATTGTTTTAATGGGAAAAACTCAATAGCATGTAACGTCAACCAACGATCGTAAACTATTTCAATGACTGAACTAATTTTGGAGGAAAAATAGGGAAAAAATACAGAGCATGAGAATAACAGATCGTGACATGCGATCGCGTGCTTGAAAGTTGACAAAGCGGGTCAACAACTGGGCACGACAATGACTTCGACTCAAATACTGAAAGCTGATTGAATGCCAAAAGCCACGAATTCACCAAAGTTTCTGCAAAAATGTCAACCATTCCATTTCATTTCAAATGAAAAATTATAGTGCCTTATGTCTAGTGATAATACTGTTTATCACCTATGTAGGTTTTCTTAAAAAAACCTTCGTGTTACTTTAATGAAGAATAGAAAACTTCCTGATTGTATTTGAAAAGTAATGGCCATCTGATAATAGTAACTACATGCACGAATCAGTCGCAGTGTTTTACTACCATTCTTGACACCATAAATACTCGTTGTCTCAAGGCAATATTGTTTAATCAAGTAAATACAATAAAGTCAAATATAATGGGAAATACTATATTGCGTGTAATGGAATGGTAGGGGGGAGGGGGGAGAGGGTGGAGGTGGGGTGGGGGGGGGGCAAAGAAATGAAAAAACGAATAAATTAAAATTGTGCTATGAAAGTCGAGGGGATGAATTATCAAAGTTATCGCTCACAATAGAAATTCCCTCAATTGGTAAAATCATCTTATCGACTGGAGCTTGCATAGATATTAGAAAACGTCCCAATTTCAAGAAACTATCTTCCTACCACTAACCACTAAGTTGCTCATTGTAATGTAATAGCCGTCACTCTAGCGGCCGAATAAAATAATTTAAGCAGCATGTACAATGCCTGAATGTAAAAACGAATAAATAAAGAAATGGAAAAATAGTAGAGGACTTGAAAAACGAGCCTTTGCAAATATTGCTTCACATTTTTCAAAGTTTCCATAATAGCTTTTATTATACATAATTCAATAATCATTTCTTTATTACATACAATTGTATGGATAAAGATATAATATATTCAAAATATATTATAAACATTTTAATCTCTTAACTAATTTGACTTCTTGTGTTTGCTAATATCCAAAAAAAAAAAACAAAAAAAAAAACAAAAAACAAATAAACAACTCGATCAAGAATGTCGGAATTGCCAGATTATACAATTCCTAATACTTACTGGAGTATTTTTTTAATGTCACGACTAAATCAAGTTGTCCACCCATAATCACAACAGTTCTTTCGTGCATCCTTTATCAATATCTATTCTTATCATGCCATATCCTATCTCTCTTTTAATACATTTTTCATGTATCTGTCAAGCTCGCCGTACCCATCACAATCCTCAAAAACTGACACTTGTCTCATCAATCTTACTAGATAAACAACTGTTGTATATTCTAAAATATTCTAAAACATTCTAAAATATTGTAAAATCGTATTCTAAGCAATTTTAAGGGTCCTGTTTAAATTAATTTTATTTTTTTTTTTTTTGTTTTTGTTTTTAACTCGTACTAAATTATTCTAGGACGATACTGAATAATCATTAATAAATTATGGCACATTTGACAAATTGCGTATGTATATGTAATAATCTGACGCTTTTTCAAAACAAAGGTAATTAAAATCTGTAAACTAAATTATACAAAGTTGTATTGATTTGCGAAACAAATTGTAATATACAATTAATTTTACAGCTTTACTACTGCCTCCTCTTATAATTATTAATAACCCCTCTAAGTTTTCGTAACAAAATATTTCATTTCTTTTAATAATACGTATTACTCATTTAACTCCATTTAACTAATGAAAAGATTAAGACAAATTCGGATAATAACGAAGCGCATAAAAAGCATTACTATATTGCTAATTTTAGTAAAGCCTTATATCTTAATATATAGCTTAATCTTAATTGAAAATAATTAATTTATTTAAAAGTAAAATTTTTTCTAATATTTACATAATTGTAGTAGTAGTAATAAAATGAGATGATGCATAATACATTATTATAGTACTTTAAATGATAATATTTACTTATTGAAATTCTTTACAAAATAAATACTACATTTTTTAATTGGAATATTCCATTTACATTCCAGTAGTACATCGTTGCTTATAAATTCGTGACAATGATAATGATTGATAAATTTTTATAATATACAAACACAAGGTACTTCTTAAACGATTTTAAATAATTAGAAATTAGTTTACGATTTCGTCATAATGAAAAGATTAAATTCATTTGTAAAATATATATAGAATTCTATGTTATTCACTAAAGCCAATTATATTTTATACATGATTGTATAATACTATTTAAAACCTAAAACTAACTGAAAAACGTGAATTCGGCATTATAAAACAAAATTTTTTAAAATAAGCGTGTAATAAAAATTTATGTATATACTTTTACCAAATCCGTCATCGATTATAAAGCAAATCTGTATTTGCTTCGGTATATTCATCAGTTTTAGATATCTTAAATTCCATGATAACGTATTCTACACTCTGTATTTAAAATCCAAATTTGAAAAAGAAAAAAAAATTGCAATAAAAATTAAATGTATGATTCACTTGATCAATTGTACATATATATATATATATATACACGCGCGCGCGCGCGCACACGCGGGTGTGTGTGGGTGTCAAGAGCATTTAACCATCCAATACAATAATTTACTTATTATTTCATTATTATTATTAATTTATTACTTATTATTACTATTACATTTTACTATTATACTATTTACTATTAATATTATTATTATTATAATTATTTTTTATTATATAATTTAATTATTATTTTACAATAATAATTTTATCTATATTTCTTCACAATTAATTCATCTATCAATGAAATTAATCAAAAAAAAAAAATATAGGTTACACACTTTGAGGCGTACATGTTGTAAAATATAATATTTTAGAAAACACGCTTTTATAAGATCAAACATATAGTTTCACTCGTATTACACCAAATTTTATAAACATGTATTCATGTTATATTTGAATTTTCTCGGATATTAAATGTACAGATCAAAGATAAACTCATAGTTTAGGACTTGAATAAGTTTTTGTTTTTGGCAATACAAGCCCATCCATTAAAATGATTTGTTTTTTCTTTTTTTTAAAAATAATACATGTAAAATCATTGTCTTTAAAAATTGTATAATAAGGCAGAATATTGAAATGTTATTCGGCAAACGTTGTTAATATGTCGATTAATCACGATTTTAATAAAAGTAAAAAAGTAAAAGGTTTAATGGTGCTATAAAGGTACGGTATTACTACGATTATATTACGAATTATTCTAAATTTATACATAAAATCAGATAAAGAAAAATGCACGAGTTCAAAAAAGTAAATTAAACAATTAGATAGACGCTATTGACAAAGATAAAAACAAAAAAAGGTAAATAAATAATATTACCAATTCTAGAAACATAATCCGAAGACTTAAATTCCCTTTCCTCCTCCGCCAACTGTCATCAAATCGAATAAAGAGGAATAATAACAAACAGTACGATAAATTATGTGTCATTACGTAACTTTGTAATATGCTCACTAATCGAGAAAATTACTAAAATAACAAAAAGAGCTACGATGCTAAAAGCAAGTACCTATAAATAAATAGCTTTTATTACAATTTCAGATATTCTTAAGATAATTTTGTAAAACAATAATATATATATATATATATATATATATATATATATATATATATATATCTATATATTACATGTAATAATAATAATTTTATATTTTCACTTTATGGGTTCTGTGAAACACTATGTACAAATTATATATATAAATTATTTCATTAGAACAAATTCTTATTTTCTTCCAGTCTGTAAAAAAGACAAATTTTGGAGAAAGTTCTTTCTTTTACGTAAAAATCAATTTCAATCGTTATTTAAGGAAAAGACTAGCTTTTTCCATTCTCTTTTTAATAATTCATTTTTATACACAAAGAAATAATTGAAAAATTTTAAATTTTAAATTTATATCGATGTTTCTTAAATATTTGTTACATTTTTCAAAACAGGAATAGTTCTATTCTATTCAAAAATATTACCTTTCAAAGCCATCACAATTTTATATTCATTGTGGGAAAAAAAAAACTTAATTACAAAATCAATAATGTAATAAACTAATTAATAATTAACATAATAACAATATTGATATATATATAAAAGTATCTTTATGTAAGAAATAATATATCATTATAATTAGGAATTAATATATTAACGCAACTATATTATATGGAATTAAAGGCCTATTTTCTTATTGTTAATAATTATTCATAAGTTTACAATAGATCGTGCATTGTTTATTGATAATAATTTAAAATATATATATATATATATATATATATATATATATACGTATATTAATAAATAAATTTCGTTTGCTTTTATGCCCGGTTTACGATTGAAAAGGCCGTATCTAATAAATGCATTTAAAATTAATTAAATAATAAAACAAAATCCTTTATCATAAAATTCTCAATTTATAACGTCATTCCAAAATAAACTAAATTAAATAATATGCACAAGCTATTATCGAAGCAACAAACCGCTCTGAAAACAGTTCACCGTAATCAAATTGAAAATAACAATTAGATAAACTACGTATTTTATTAAAAAGAAAAAGAAAAGAAAATAAAATAAATCTTTACGTATAATCATAATATCAATAAATAAGCAGATTTGTTTTCTGCGCTCAATGTTCTGAAGCTCAAAAATACTAGTCAATGTATTATTTATGAATATAGAAGAAAATAATATTTGAATGTAAGTGTCACTGCACAGCCGCAACAACATTAATAAAAATTAAATAAGGAAAATGAAACATTGGTAGAACGTTCATGAGAACGTTAAAGAATTTTTTTTTACCACAGATTTTCAACAACAAACACAAACTCAATGTTTCGTTTGAATTATTACACCCACGCTTACATTTTATACAATTATGGATTGAACCAAGTATTGATTACAAAATATTTTAAATACATAACAATGGAGGAATCGGTATCATTAAAATAATAATATTAAATTTGTTTTAACGTCTTGTTAAGCTCTCAGTCGAATAATGTGCTTTATGAATGGATATGGGCGGGGAATAAAAATAACGACAATCACAAAAAAATATTTGCGAAAATTCGTAAGATTAGATAATCGAAAAATTTAAGATGATAAGTAATTTAGACATTTCATAAAATGCCAATGAACATGGCAATGAAAAGGAAAATATACACTTGGCGTATATCAAAGCAATTTGTGCTTACATATAAGCAAAGCTACGCACACATAATATTAGAGGCAAAAGTATTCGTCATAAATACATGCGTACACATAACACACATACGCATGGGATTCATATTATGCGAATGATATGTGTTAAAATGTGACCTAAATTAAGAATAAGACGGCCATTACGTGTTTAAGAATCGGTTATCGGTCACCGCATTATAACGGGGTACTAATCGATCTCTTGGGAGTAACTTTTCACCTCCTACTTTCCATAATGAGTCCTTGTAAAAGCAAATGACTTTCAAATCGTTGTCTGCCCTTCCAACAAAACTATTTACAGACGCATGGGAATATCGTCGTGTCGTAGAGTAATAAAAGCGTAATAATAAAAGCGTAATAATAATGTTTGGATTCTTGCCGTTTATGTGTATTGTCTGTGGTGGGTGGAGGGTGGAAAACGAGAAAAACAATAATAATAATAATAATAATAATAACCATTACAAGTGCATAGCGTTAAACGAACTGTTTTATAAATTAAAATGTCGTTTCAGTTTTTTCGCTTTATTAATGTGAAATCGATGGGCAGGATTTTGTTTTCGTGTAGCATCATTGGGATCGGGGCAATGGAATCGAGAAATGGACGGGTTTCAGCCTCGGACTCTGCCTTCAAAAATTTTGTCGGTCGTAATGCAATCTGATCCGAGCGCACGCCATCATTAAAAACAAATAACAATATAAAGGCTTAACGAGGTAGGTACATGAAATCAAATGATAAACAATCCCTCCTCTAATGCCCATGGAAAATAATTGCCAGTACGAAATGCTATTAGATTAATCATATTAATCATATCAATAAAGTAATGGGCAAACTATGGCTTACTAGTCGAAGACATAATGTAATATTTAGTTAAATTAAACTTTGCATAATAAATGGCAGGGTAAGTACCAGTAATGTAGCGTACATGTTTAAGTACATTCGGGTCGCTAATTAACGCGTAAAGAAATATAAATAGGATATAGGAGGTTATAGGAGGAAGAGAGGTCGGAAAGAGAGGTACAGCTACTAGCTACGATAAGGAGGAGAGGGTGAGAGAGTAAGTTCCGACGGCGAGATTTGTGTGTGTGGGGTTGGGGGGAGGGGAGGGGTGGGGGGGTCGACTGGTTCTACGAAACATTAGATGCAAATGCAAGAAGCGAGGCATGATCGAATCCCCGCTAGTAACGAAGGGAAAATCGAAAACTTCCGGGAGTCAGATCGGCTAAAAGGAACTGAACGGAGATGGTGGAAGGAGGGCCCGTTACATGGCGTGCAAGGAGGATGTCCAAGAAATGAAAGACCATTGTCAATCAAGGAGATTAAAAAGCACAGGATTGTTCTATGGCGAAGGACGGCTGAGAACAACTCGCGCGTGCTGTAAATCATCATCCTCGATAAACGCATAGCAATGTCCAAGACGGCATCGATCATCACATAGGTGACTCGTACTACGTACGCTTATCCATGGTCAATCACGGTTATCCTCATCCTCGTCGTCGTCGTCGTCGTCGTCGTCGTCGTCGTCGTCATCATCGGCCAAGGGTCAAATGAACAACATAGGCTTACGGCTATAGGACGAGGTTGAAGATTGGGATAGAAAAGACAAGAAAAGTAAAATGAAAAAAGAATCCCCGCTGTCCACGCCATACTAATTTTTTCGTGAATAGTAGAAGAAAAGAGAGAGATAAGAGAGTCAAACAGATTTTCAGTTTTTCTTCTTGTGCTTTGTTCGACATGATGGCTCCTGATACGAGCAAGGGTGACGGGCATCAAAGACGTGAATACTTTAATTATTTTGAATGAAAGTAACGAAACGGAAGTTTGTTATTGTCGTTGTTATTGCCGACAACTGTCGTCGACATTGTCGTTGTCGACATAGTTTTCATAAATGTCGTCGTCGTCGTCGTCGTCGTCGTCGTAATCATCGTCGTCGTCTCTCGCTTGTGGATCAATACGTTGAGCCATAGGCGCCGCCACGTCACTACCACCGATCGCGGGAAGGGGGCACTAGTTATCGTCCTCCTTTTCTTTCATCCCTGCCGCTGCCATCGTTGCCGCCTCGTTCCCACCCCGGCTCCGGACCCTAAACTTCCTCCTCTTCCTCGACAGAAATCAACCCTTTGATTTGCACTGGCTCGATGCCTTCTACCACCACCACCTCCGACTCACCCCCGACCCCTGCACATCATCATTTACTCCTCATTTATTTCAATTCTCTCGTGTCTCTGATTTTTCACCAACTCCCTTCCCCAGGTCACGCATGCACGCGAGTCTCTGTCACTGCGTGCACGAGTGCGAAAGATATACACATTATTATTTGTCGCCGCTAATATTGCATATCAAAATATCCCCTTCAACACCTCCTATCTCTCTCTCTCTCTCTCTCTCTCTCTCTCTATCTATCTAACTATCTATCTATCTATCTATCTCTCTCTCCGTACCCATAAACAATACGCACGCGCATTAACACTTTTATATACATGTATATGCATATGAATATGCATAAGTTACATGAGCGAGTGCGTATGATTGTACATATACATTTACTCTATGAACCCACTCGTCTCTCTTTCTCTCTCTCTCTCTCTCTCTCTCTCTCTCTCTCTCTCTTTCTCTTTATATAAAAAGGGGTGCTCGTTTTCCATTTATTGTTCGTAATAATGGGGACCAATGCTCCTGCTAGGGTAGTGGTGGTGGTGTGGTGGTGGTAGTGGTGGTAGTAGTGGTGGTGCTAGTGGTGGTAGTGTGGTGATGATCGTAGTGGTGGTAGAATGTCACGAGGTGGACGCTGCTCTCGACTCGCTAAGCTCGCGTTTTAATTGGCGATTTTAATTGCAAGTACGTTTGAGCAGCGTTGCTTGGAGTTCAGAGCGTATGTCGTACCCAGAAGAATCTTATGAGTTTGGCTCTCTCTCTCACTCTCTCTCTCTCTCTCGACTTGGAAACAGCACGCGCCAAGCGACGTGTTTGTCCGACTCTTCGAGCATCGCGGTGCACTCGCACCAGAGCCGTCAAATTTCCTTTGCTCTCCACCGTTTCGGACGAGGGACCACAGATAGAGATAGATAGAAGAAGTACATAGAGAGAGAGAGAGAGAGAGAGAGAGAGAAATAGAGAAAGCGAATGATGATGAAAGGGAGAAGGAAGGGCCAGGAAAATCATTATGTCGAGTCGGAGGACGTGGGTCGTTGCGCGCGGCCGAGGAGAAAAAACCAAACTCTCACCTCGGCTCCTCACTTGGAGCTCGCGCGGCATTCCGTTACCCGCGTTACGAAATGTTGTCGTTCGCTCACTCACCTTGTGCATGGGGGTGCCCCAGAAGTCATTGAAGAAGACATTCCTGAGAGGCGTATGGGGTCTGAGATCGCGATTCTCCTTGATCGCGGATATGTCGTCAAAGACGAAACCGCAGCCGAGGCTGTTCAGGTAGACGGCGAGGGCGGCCACAGCCAGCAGAGCCGCGAGTGCTCCCCGTGCTGGCACTCCCATGTCATAACCTGGCTTGGCCCCACCTCCTCCGGACTCCCGGACACGCTATTAGATCACCACCATGCTCCCGTCGTCGTCGTCGTCGTCGTCGTCGTCGTCGTCGTCGTCACCGCTATCGCTAGCCTCCTCTCTCTCTCTCTCTCTCTCTCTCTCTCTCTCTCTCTCCCTTCCACCTTTTCCACCACGCGCTCACTCTCTCTCTCTGTCTCGTTCCCGCGCCCTCTGGCTCTACTTCTCTTCTCTTCTCTCTCTCTCTCTCTCTCTCTCTCTGTATAGGAGGCCAGATATTACTAGTGGACGGGACGAGCTGCATCGGCTGTTCACGCGCTCAGGCTCGACTCTGGCCCTCGACGCCGCTGTAGGCATCGGCCGGCGACCTCATCCCAGGGCGCCGTCGCCGTCGCCGTCGCCGGATGCCAGTCCTCGCGACCACTGGCTCCACTCTTGGCGACTCCAAAACCGCCCGAGAGACGCAGCTGCTGCGACTCGACTGCCAATGATGCCGAGTACGGAGCGCCGCGGAGCTCTCGAGATGAGCCGCGGAGCCGAGGAGCCGAGGGCTAAAAGCGCGCAGGACGAGCCGCCGCTGACGGGGCTGACGGAGCTGACGGAGCTGACGGGGCTGACGGGGCTGACGAGGCTGACGAGGCTGACGAGACCGACGAGGCTGACGAGGCTGACGGGGCTGACGGGGCTGAGGAGGCCGTGACCCATAACTTCACCCCGTTGACGACGCTCCGTAGCCTGACGTAGGCTGACCGTCTCATGACCCGATGCTCGGACACCTGCTGGCTCGCTGCTGGTCTCGGCTCGTGACCGGTGGTGAGACGCTCGCCGCACTTGTTGAATCCGACGGCTCTGCATTACCGACCATAAGCCTTCGACCTCCTCCTCCTTCTCCTCCTCCTCATCTTCCTATACCTCTTACCACTCGGCGCTTCTTGAGGTCCGCCTTTCTCTACGTGGATGTGTGTCTACTATTATTTCGAGTCCTCCGCGCTTCACCGACCACCGCCTCCTCTCATCATTATTCGGCAAACTGCCTTCCTCTCGCCCCAACCCACCAACAACCACCCCCTATGGATTATTCATAGGGCCATTGGCTGCCAATGATGTTGGTCCAGCAATATGCCATGACAATTGGTTGACAGCGTTAAATCGCCGATTGTTGGAGGGATTGTTGGAGTGCGACAGCTTTTCCAAGCAAATCGACCAATCTCCAAGATTAATTATTGGATGCTGGTTCGCGCGCAACACCGACTACTATAAAAATGACTGTAAAGTTCTCTCGAGTCCCGCTAGTTTTTAGCGGTAACGATGAAAGTCAACATGCAGAGCTATAAAAATCAATTCGAGTCACTGCTGTAAGAAAGATCCTCGACGATTTTTATCATTCGACGGCTACGCGCTAATTATGTTGCGAAAAATTCTAATATCAATACGAACAATATATATACATTAATTCAAGAAGAAATTTCTTTTATATTCCAACGATATATAAGAAGTGTAATATCGAGCATAGTTGTGAAGCAGGTGTGAGTGAGACTTACAATAATTTCGGTAATTCGTTCAATTCTTAATCGTCTCACTTTATGATACTCAAAACAATTGTGTGTTTAATCGCCTATTACACTATAATAATTATATTTTCGATATTTTATCCTAATTATACGAGTTTTATCGAAATGAATAAGATGCAATTTTAAATTCAAGTATCAATGATGAATTTTGGAATTTTTACAAATTACAATTATTGAATATTGTCAATGATAAAATCCAACCTAATGTGTAAATAATTATTTCAATATCAATGCAAATAAATGAAATAACGTCTTAACGCTGATATTCAGTGATTTTCAATACTTGGATAAAGTTAAAAGTAAAAAAGAATCGAATATGTATGTGTGTGCGCGCGCGCGTGCGTGGGCGTGCGTGGTTTAATTGGCTATTCTCGTTCATAAATTTGGACGGTATGTAATAAGTGTCGTATTGACAAGGATAAATCAAAGTTTTTCGACTATTCATACCTAATCGAACACCACTAAACTAAATCAGCTAAAAAAAGCACCTATAAATTAATAAATTAATGAAAACATTTCTTTTTTTTTTTTTTTAATACAACATCACTGCGTATTCAATAGGTATTGACATACAGTATAGAATAATTCTATTGAAATCCACACTAATTAAAATCTAACGATGCTCTAACCATCTAATTTACAATGATATGCAAAAACTTAAACCATAAGACTTCGATAATTATAAATAATAAATTGTTCCTAACGCATTACACTTTAAATATGAGTTTGTGCATTTGAGAAGAGAAGACCAAGTAACGTGTGGGGTCAGCGATGCTTTACACGCGCAAGTTTCACTTCATGCCAAATATCCCCGTCCAATTATAATAAGCCTTCCATGAGGAAAAAAGGATCTTATTTATCCTTTGTGTTTATGAGTAAGATGAATTTATTAATGAGTGGGCATCAATTACTTAATTTTATGAGATAAAATGGCAGTGAAAAGTAATTGATACTTTATATGCAATTCTAAAGAAATATTCACTAATCGAATGAAAGTAATGTACTCTTTATAACGTACAAAAGCTTTAGATTATATAAATTATCATAATCGTGTTATCGCTGCCCCAACGATTTTTAATAATTAATTGCCAATAACCAATTAACAATTTACATAATAAACTCTCAAGTTTAACAACACAAAATAATAATATTTAATTTTCCATCTTTTAACGATTCATTTTTAAGATCAAATAATTTTATATACATTGTATAACAATTTTATATTTATTTTATCATATATATATATTGAACTCATTATATTTCTTATTTGTGCTTAATGAACATTAAAATTGCTCGTTATCTAGGATTATCAAACAAAGAGCACAACTCAATATAACATGACTTCATTATTTTCACACTTGATTGCAAGAATCTTAGTCAGGCAGATTTTAAAAATAAAACTCTTAATTTTGATAATTGTAGGACAATATAATAATATTAAGAACAAAAGGACGCCATTAATAATAATTATATTATATAATTATTCCAATTTAGGAAATTGCAAAAAGCTATATTAAATTGTCCTGAAAAAATCGCTTATGGCTTACGCGCGTTCGTAATTTTTTCTTTTTTTTTTTCAAGGATTTTACCTCATTTGTCTTTATTTTTCCTTTTTAAAGCTCGATTCCATGTTGTCGTTATGTAAATATATAGAGCTTTCTTTGATAAATTAATTGCAATTTAAAAATAATAAAATCCTTTCTTTTACATTAGCTTCGAGCCCGATTAAAAATAACATTTTCTTTCCATTTTATTTTCAGAAAAAAAAATTTATCGATAGATATATGAAAAAAGTAATCTTAAACACAGAAAAGCCAAAAGCGCCAAAAAACAATGACGTTAACATAATTAAATTTAAATACGAAATGATCATTATACAAGATAGTAAAAATTCTATATAGACATCAAGAGACTTTGGTTCAGTTTTAATATTTTTCCCGTAGAATGAATTAAAATTAATTAAAAATCCGAGTTGCTTATGAATATTAAAAGAAAAAAAAAAAAAAAAATTTACTGGCGAAATAATAAAACATTTATTTTAGTGTCCTTTATAACAAGTGTTGAAATTTTTCATTTTTCAAAATAACTTGTTAGTTTAGTACTTAACAGTCTACTTAATCTGAATAATCAAACACCTGCAGCATAATTATTTATTTTTCTGATGCTACAAAAATGCTTATAAAATTATAAAATTAAATTACTCTTCGGTACATTTTTGTAAATAAAAAGTTACCGTCTCTCCTTCATTATATATACAACTTCTACGACTAAATAGTAATAAATAATTTAATTTAAAAGTAATTAAGTGAAGCGAACGCATTAAGTTATGGTAATAATAATTTCATTTTTTTTGTTTTTTTTTTGTTTTTTTTTGTTTTTTTTTTTTTTTTTTGCAATTATTGAAAAAGAGAAATTAGAAATTAACGCAATAACGAATAAGAAAAACAACATTTATAATACATTTGAAGAGATTTTAATTTAAATTTAAATTTAAATTTATGAACTATATCATTTTTTACTAGACTTTTACTATTTTTATCAACCAAAGCCTTTTTATCTTAAATTTATCTCCAATTTTTACAAATTCCTATCTCATAATATCATAAGAGTCTTTTTTACATATTTATGGTAACCTAAATAATTAACGTGCAATTGCTGTCTTTTGGAATGCTGCTTTAAAAAAATGTAAAAGTTGTAAAATACTTTTTTTTTTTTTTTTTTTTTGCAATATGCCCTCTTCAACACTGGAATACATATTTCGCTTCCTAATCGTCTCGGATTTCTATATTAATCGATCAAAACAGCAACAAAGTTATTTTTATTGTTTGAACGACAATTTATGATTAAGCCAGTATTGATTTACTTCAGAAATTGATTAATATTTTTCTAATAAGTGACTTTATAAATATTATACGATGAAGTTCTTAATGAAACTGTTGTCATTCAATGTTGACAATATTGAAAGCAAATTTCAAAGAAATTTTATATTTATAATTATTTTTCTTAAAGCGTAATACGAAATCGAAAATTGAAATATAAAAATAATTCATGAGCATGGCTATAGAATATTTTTATGTAAAGGATAATGCCCAGGATATACAGAATTTTAATCCTCTGGGGAAATCTAGAAAACTTATGCAGTCATTGACAGAGGAAAAGATGTTAAACTTAAAAAAAAAAAATTGACTACCTTATCCGAGACAAAAAGTTAATAAAAGTTAGAAGAGTTTTATCCAATTTAAACATATGGAATTAAATGTTGTCAGTAGACATAATATCTATAATAAAATTCTCATTTTTTTTAATAATGTTACATAATTTGCTTCTTAACTTTCCTCGCTCCTGGATAAGTCAATTGATTTTAATTGATTTTAATAAAGGTTTTTGTATTCTAAATAATATTTTCCATTTTTAATAAACAACTATTATTTACAATATCATAAGTCACTCGTTTAAAAATATAATATTTCATATCGGTGGGGGGGGGGGGTTTTAATTAATATTAATAAAATTTAATTAATTTAATATTGTGATTCTAAAATATCAATTATTAGAATGAACTGTCCTATTATTATATATTCCTATATTCTTTTATTTTACAGCTTACATTTCAATTTCTAAATATGATATTTATATTTGACACTTTGGACTCATGATATTTTAATATTTATCAAAATGTACAAGTATATTCTTAATTAAAAATTCAACATTCATTTGAATTTCAAAACTTCAATATCAATATTTGCAATGCTATATATAAATAATTTTAAAAATATCCCAACCACCTTTCATAAAACAAGAAAAAAAAGAAGAAAAAAATCTAACATAACATAAAGATATATAAAAATACGATATAAATTATCTTTATAATAAATCTACAAATACTAAAATAAAAAAAAATTTACAATCAGCGATATATCTATCTCTCCTTTATTAAAAATTAATGATTAGTGATATCTAAAAAGAAATAATATTACGCTATTAACGATTACGAAAGCTTAATATTCACTTATTCTTGATTGACTTATGACAAATAAAATCAAATAATAAATTCCGTGACATTTTACGTCTGATTTTATTTTGATATCTATTAAATACGATTATATAATAATATCAGCACTCTAGGGTCGACGTTCATAATCTCGTCTATTGGATTTTTATATATTAATATTCTAATTATGATATACCGATATTCGATTTATACAAAATTTTTTTACATATTATAAAAACAAGGTATTTTACATACTAAATAATTCAAAGCTTTAATATCACTTTGTTAATTGAAAATGCTTCATATTTTTTAACTTTTGAATAAAACATGTAGTTTTTACAGACACTTTGCAAAATTTTATAAAATGATATACTGCGTTGATAGAAAATTTTTTTCAATCCAGTAATTGTAAATTATTTAAGTGGTAGCTATAAGCATCTAGTATAATAAAATTTAATATTCGTATCATAATTAAAAAATTATTACATTTTGAGATTTAATTTCATTAATATATATATATATATATATATATATATATATATATATATGCAGAGAGA